GAAGGCGGCAGCCTCCAGGGGGCGGGCCCCCAGCATCTTGGGGGGGGCAGAAAGGGGGTTAACCCTCAACTCCCAGTGCAGGCCAGAAGAGATCAGGTTGACCCCCAGCACCCAGAGGAGGACAGGAGATGTGGGGTTAACCCCCAGCACCCAGTGGGAGACAGACAGGGGGTTAACCCCCAGCACCCAGAGGAGGACAAGAGATGTGGGGTTAACCCCCAGCACCCAGTGGAGAGCAAAAGATGTGGGATTAACCCCCAGCACCCAGTGGGAAACAGACAGGGGGTTAACTCCCAGCACCCAGTGGAGAACAAAAGATGTGGGGTTAACCCCCAGCACCCAGTGGGAGACAGACAGGGGATTGACCCCCAGCACCCAGTGGAGGACAAAAGATCTGGGGTTAACCCCCAGCACCCAGTGGGAGACAGACAGGGGGTTAACCCCTAGCACCCAGTGGAGAACAAGAGACGTGGGGTTAACCCCCAGTACCCAGAGAGGGGTAGAAAGGGAGCCAACCCCAAGCACTCAGTGGAGGATAAAAGATATGGGTTTAAAGCCCAGCACGCAATGGGAGACTGACAGGGGATTAAACCCCAGCACCCAGTGGAAGACAACAGATGGAAGTTTAACACCCAGCACCCAGTGGGGGACAGCAGCAACAGGAATAGGGGGATTAATCCACAGGATCCCATGGAGAGCAGGGAGACAAGGGGGGTTAACATCTACTAATCAGTTGGCAAGGTCACCACTCAAGCAGGGGGCAGTAGGAAAAGGCAAAGGTTTGGAATTCTATCTTTCATGGTTCCTGTACTTGGCCACACTGGTGCTGTTGATGATTTTCCTGGGAATCCTGTGGGCGAAGATGATTGGGCCAAACTGGCTTCTGGGGACAGAAGAGAACAGTACGTGGTGGGGTTAAACCCTTTTTTTAATTGTCTCCCCATCTTTCTTCTCCCCTTCTTTAAAGTCCTTGTTTCCTTTTCCTCTGGTGTCTGTGTTCACTGCATTTAATTTTCTTCTCAGTGTCCTCACATGTTGTGTTTGCCTCTTGTCTCCCCAGTTTCTTTCCCTGGGACATCTCTTGGTATGTGGGGGTTTTTTTTTTTCAAGTGAACATGGATTGAGATTCTTCAAAACCATTGCTTTTATGAGGAGTTAAAATATGCCCTCATTAGAAAGAAATTTTCGTAATGATGAACTGCCTGTATACTTGCCCCTTATCTGTTTTAATGTCATTTTCTACAAAGCATAGGCATTCCATGTCCTTGATCTTGACCACTTCATAAGTACAGGACTTGACCTTACATTTTACTGCTCACCTCCAAGAACATACAAATTTAAATATGCCAAAAATTATTATCCCATAGCCTTAATGTAGCAAATGAATTCTGGTAAATTAAATTTGCAGGAATGTTGTATTTTTTCTACTTCTAGAGTGAAGGAAGAGGGTTTGAAGGAGGTGATTGCCAAAACTCAATGGCTACATCTACACTGGCGCGTTCTCACGGAACAACTCTTTTGCGGAAGAGTTCTTCTGCAAAAACTCTTCCAGAAAAGAGTGTCTACACTGGCGTGTGCTTTTGCGCAAAAGCATCCGTGCCAGTGTAGACGCTCTCTTGCGCAAGAAAGCTCTGATGGCCATTTTAACCAGAGGGCTTTCTTGTGCAAGAAATTCATGTTGCCTGTCTACACTGGCCTCTTGCGCAAGAACAGTTGCGCAAAAGGGCTTATTCCTGAGCGGGAGCGTCAGAGTTCTGGTGCAAGAAGCCCTGATTTCATACATGAGAACGTCAGTATACTTGCGCAAGAACATGCGGCCAGTGTAGACAGGCAGCAAGTTTTTGCGCAAGAACAGCCGCTTTTGTGCAAGATCGCGCCAGTGTAGACACAGCCTATGTGTGTGCAAGCTGTCTTGTTGTCTTAAAGTCAGTGAATACTGCAAGAACATCAAACTTTTCTCTAGAATTATTTGCAAAATGGTTTGGAAACTCTATCTTATTTGCCTACTGAACAAAATTCCTTGGTTTTGCCCTGACATTTTTGTGTTACTAATGTATGGTTTCAATGAATAGAGCCTACCTTAGTTTTTTAAATAGTACTGTTTGACTAGTAAGGTAATACTCAATGGGATGAATGGTAGAAGAATCAGATGCTTAAAGAGGACCTGTACTTATTTTTAACTTCTAGTTATTTTTCTTTGTTTTCTAGTTTTTATTTTACATCTAACGCTTATTCTCTCTCAGTTCAACAGTTAACTGTGGATTGTGAGGCAAGGACAGATGATGTAAGTGTAAATTTAGTTTGGGTTTTTTTTTTTTAAATCTTTGCTGTAAGGGCAGGCATCTTGCAGGCAGTTAACTAGCTGAGCAAATTTCACAAGTCAATAACTGTCAGTATCACTGCCAAAGCGCCTGTATCATTTTACAGGTAGAATGTAGTGGTTTACCAAAGTTAGATTTAATTGACTTTTTTGGTGGACAAGACTAGATTGTGACTATGTAGAACAGGGACGGGCAAAAGGGCCTCTGCAAGCTGGATCCGGCCCACCAAGTGTGTGGATCCAGCCCGCGGAGGCCCTGCTACTCTCCTGCCACCAGGCCAATTAGAGTCTGGGGACGGGGGAGGGCCCAAAGCCTCCTCCCGCCCTGCTAGGATCACATGATGCTGCACTGCTCACAAGGTGGGGGGGGAGAGCAGAGGAGGCTTCAAATGCTCCCCTACCTCCAGGCCAGTCAGGGTCTGGGGGCGGGGGAGCTGTGTGAAGCTTCCTTAACTCTGCCCTAGCCCTGCAAGGAGTCCATGACACTTCAAAGTGCCACATGCTCCTCACAGGACTGGAGGAGGCTTCCCGCCTCCAGGCCCTGATTGGCTTGGGGGGGGGGAGCATGCCAAGCCTCTTTGAGGGCATGGGTGCCTAGTGGGAAGGGGGGGCAAAGGGGCTTCCCCACCCCCAGGCCAATCATGTTCTGGGGGTGGGGTAGCTCCGCCCCTTCCCATTTAGACCCTACCCCTTCTGGGGTGGCCCAGGGCTACTTCAAAAAATTTTGAAGTGGTCCCAGGGCAAAAGTTATTGCCCACCCCTGATATAGAAGAATCTGAAAGTTACAAATTTAAGCTACTGGAGATCTGAATCACTTGGTATTACTTTCTTTAGTTATTTGTAACATATGTGATTTAATCTGTAATAAAGATTTTACCTGTATAGTCAACTTTTCCAGTAGATGCTTTAATAAATCTAAATCCCTAATCTCTGTTGAGATGTTTATGCAGCCCTGATTTATTCCATAGTACACTATTGAGAGGGACAGACTTCTGTATCCGATTCAGAGTGGTGATAATGTTGTGAGGTTCTGGGGAAGTATATCATAAATCTGTTTACTCTACCTGAGTGTGAAGGAATTTTTCTTGTAGCTGCTATTGGAGAAGAAGGCTATGATGTTTGGGAGTTGGAAGCATTTGCCTTTCAAAGGAGAGATTCAGTAATTGAGAGGATTACACCCTGAGACTTTTTGCCTCAGTAATCCTGTATTTTAATTTTATCAGATGAGGTATAGTGTAACTGCACAGTCACTTCTGTTAGTATTTTGTTTTTGTATTTTGGCAGATGTGACTGCTGTTTTGTTGCTCTTGATGCATTGATGTTTATTTTCTATTTCTGACTTTCAGTTCTGTCAAGCTAAACAGAAGGAGCTTGTAATGGCCGTGCTGTATGAATTGTATAACTACCTGGCAATACAAGCTGGTGAGTTCTGATTGCTGAATACTCCTAAATTCTTTATAATGCCAAACTGCATTGCCCAGCTGGCTGGACATTTTTAAGTTTATTTTGAAGAGAGAAGATCTTCTGTGAGTCTGATGCCCTTAAGTGCCTAAATCACTTTTGGAAATTGTACTCAATACCATAGTAGAAGGTATTTAATATGTCTATTCAACCTTCTTTTCAAGTCAGGTTTTCATGGTCTTGGTTTGTGGACTTTCCTTCAACACTTGCCTTTGTTCTTGTTAGGATTTTTAGCGGTTACACGGTTACCTTTTAAAATTAATTTTTACATTCCTAATTGTAGTAGATGGTTGAAGTGGGGAGGTGTGCTCCTCTATAAATGGCACATTGATCAGTCAAGTTAGCATCCACCATACCTGACAGAAAGTATCTCTAATGCATTTGTCCAAATGTGCAGCTCTGTAGAGCGAGACAACAGTATTCTTGGCTTCTGTAATGGGTAGAGTATGCCTTGAAGCAATTGATTTGATTGCCCTTATCTTAGCCTATTTATGGTAGCTACAAATTTTATTAAAGGTCATACAATTATCAGGGTAGAGTATTTTAGCTCCAATCTTCTGTGCGAGCTTTTTGGCTACAGCTAAAACCGATTTAAAAGAATAACAGTTCCAGATGGTTCATTGCATTTCCCGATTTGTGCAAGGTGGGTTCCCCTCCCTCCCGCCCCAGGATTGTTTCCATCTATTTGACTTCTTTTCTAGGTAGTTTTGAGTGTGGAAACCCTGAGAAGCTAAAAAGTAAATGCATTCTGGTTAGCGAAGCAAAGAATTATGTGGCGGTAAGTAAGCTTGGAATGAGTGTTAATTGTTTCATATTCTACTTAATTTATTTCTGTCTGTTATTTATCATTTTATAAAACAATGTACTATCTGATTATTTCTTAATCCAGTTCTTAGTCTTTCTGATCTCTCCAGCTGTTCCTTTGGCCAGTCTTGTTCTAAGGAGTTCTTTCAGAAAATAATTGTCTACTCCATTGTTCTGACAATACAGTTTTAGCTGTTGCAAAGCTAACTAATATTGTTGCTTCACAACAAAAGGTTGTCAGTCTTTTGATGCTAGAAACCTCCCTGTACTGGGGACTGGCAGCAGTGTGATTTTCCCCAAACTCACCCCAAAGTGATAGGAGGCAAGCTGCTTTGATCTGACATGCCACTTCTCCATAGCTGATTGTCAGCAAGATTGTGTTGTATTTAGCAAATCTCAAGGGGTAACCATGTTAAGATGGAGTGGAAATAACAGGAACCCAGAATTTATAACAGAAAAAGAAGGGAAGGAAAAAAAATACCATGTCAATTGTAGTACCCGTGCTAATGAGGCTAATTGGGCTGGAAGTGTCCCATACTTAGCTTTTGATGTAAATGAGGTGTTAATGCAGGAAGACTGGCTTTACAATGTGGCATCCAGTTAATGTCTTTTGTTCAGGCCCAAGGAACCAGTGTCAAATTTGCATATGAAGGTTAATTCCACACTCTCTCTGTAATTGACTTGTGAAATCCCTTTGTAGAAGAATGGCTACTTTTAAAACCATGAATGAGTGCCTAGGCAAGTTAAAATGTTCCCCTACAGGTTTGTGTGTGTTGCCATTTCTGATGTCTGATTTGTGTCTATTTATCCTTTATCATAGAGACTGTCCAGGTTGGCCCATGTACATGGCAGAGGGGCATTGTTGGCATATATCACATTAGAGAATATGCAGTTGTATGAGCCTTTGATGTGATTAGGTCCTGTGATGATGTCACTTGTATACATGTATGGACAGAATTGGAAGTGGGGTTTATTGCAGTGGTAGGTTCCTGAGTGAGTGTGTCTGAGGTGTGATTTATGGCTGCTGGAAAGGATTTGCTTCAGATTAGGGGGTTGTCTGTAGGCAAGGATTGGCCTGTCTCCCAAGTTCTGTGAGAGTGAGGGATCATTTTCCAGGATAGGTTGTAGATTGACAGTGATGTGTTGAAGGGGTTTAGGCGGGAGTGGAGACAGATGATGGCTAATGGTGTTCTGTTATTTTCCTTGTTGGGCCTCCCTTGAAGAAGCAGATTCCTGGGTACTTATCTGGCTCTATCTATCTGTTTCTTCACTTCCCCAGGTGGATATTTAAGTTTTAAGAATGCCTGATAAAGATCTTGTAGGTATTTGTCTCTTATCTGTGAGATTGGAGCAAATCCAGTTGTATTTTAGGGACAGTCTGTAAACAATTGATCGTGTGATGTGTCCTGGATGGAAGCTAGAGGCATGTAGGTAAGGTCAGTAGGTTATTGATATAGGCTGGTGTTAATGTGGCCATAATTTAATTGTACTGTAGTGTCAAGGAAGTGGATCTTTTGTGTGGACTGGTCCAGGCTAAGGTTGATGATGAGTGGAAATTGTTGAAGTCCCTGTGGAATTCTTCGAGCATCGCCTTCCTTTGGGTCCATATGATAATGTCATTAATGTAGCATAAGTAGAGAAAGGGTGCTTAGGGATGAGAGCTAAGAAAACATTGTTCGAGTTCGGTCATAAAAATGTTGGCATGTTGTGGGTAGGGGTGTAAGCGACTAATCAACTAGTCGACTATCTGATAGGCAAAAGCTTATCAGCTAGTCTATACACTAGTCCCCCCCCTGCCTGCCTCTATCAGAAAGAGGCAGCAAGAGGAGGAGAGGAAGGAGTGCTGGGGAGAGCCAGCTTAAAAGCTAGTTCCCTCCCCCGCCCCCCAGCTCTAGTTCTGTGGGAGGGGTTAGGGGCTCAGTGGCGGCATTCCACCTTTGAAATGTACAAGAGTCCCCGCTGGGGCTCTTGTACATTTCAAAGCAGAAGCGCCACATGGAGCTTGGGTCCAGCAGGGGATTCAGAGTCCCCCACTGTCTTCTGGCTCCACCTGGCCTTTCAGTCTTTGAAATTCACAAGAGCCCCTGCTGGAACTGTTGTATATTTCAAAGGCAGGAACTCCCTGTAGCACTTCTGCCTTTGAAATGTAGCAACAGCCAGGCAGGCTCTTGCTACATTTCAAAGCGAAGTGCCCTTATCGACTAATCAAATAGTCGATGGCAATTCCATGGACTATTTGATTAGTTGATCAATCTGATTTTAACATCCATAATTGTGCGGTCATGAGGATGCCCCTGGCAGTGCCGTTGACTTGAAGGTATAAATTATCCCAGAATTGGAAATAGTTGTGTGTGAGGACAAAATCACATGGCTCAGCCACCAGGTGTACTGTGGCATCAGGGATAGTGCTCCTGACAGCTAGTAGTTCACCTCATGTGGAAACTTGGTGTAAACAGCTTCTACATCCATGATGGCCACACATTCTACAATGTGATCTGTGCCAGCAGAGTGTCTCTGCTGTGTATATTCGCCAACCTGGACAGTCTCTATGACAGGGGTGGGCAATAATTTTTAATGGGGGGGGGGGCACTCCAAGATTTGGTAAGTGGACAAGGGCCGCACTTCTATGCAGAGGCGCCAGGTCTGGGACGGCGGGTGGGGTGTAGAAGGGAGCTTGGGATATAGGAGTGGGCTGTAGGAGAGGGTGTGGGTTCTGAGAGGAAGTTGGAGTAAAGGAGGAGGTTATGATCTGGAGCAAAAGCTTGGGGTGCCTCTAGACTACATGGCTCTGTTGACGAAGCCATGTAAAGTAGTTTACTCGACGTAGTCAATGAAGCGGGGATTTAAATAATCCCCACTTCATTAAAATAAAAATGGCTGCCGTGCTGTGCCAACAATGAGCTTATCTGGCACAGCGTGGCAGTCTAGATGTGGCGCAGTTGACAGGGGAAGCCTTTGTCGACCCTCCAGTATGCCTCGTGAAACGTCTAGACTGCCGCGCTGTGCCGGATCAGCTGATTGTCAGCACAGCACGGCAGCCATTTTTATTTTAATTAAGCGGGGATTATTTAAATCCCCGCTTCATTGACTACGTCGAGTAAACTACTTTACAGAGCCATGTAGTCTAGACACACCCTTGGTGTGCAGGATCCAAGAATGGGTATTAGTGCAGGAAAGGATTCTGGCCTGGGGGAGGGTTGCAAGAGGGAGTGCAGGGTTTGGGAGGAAGTCGTGACCTGAAGGAGGTGGAGAGAGTAGATACAGAGAGTTTAGGTGGTGACCTGGGGCAGGAAGTTGGGAGGAGAGAGACATTAGAAATGGTAACACACAGAAATCTATAGGGGAACATTTTAACCTGCCTGGGCACTCATTCCTGGATTAAAAAGTAGCTATTCTTCTACAAAGGGATTTCACAAGCCAATTACAGAGATAGAGTACGTAATTGACCTTCATAAGTGAATTTGTCACTGTTTCCCTGAGCTTGTACAAAGACATTAACTAGATGTCACATTATAAATCCAGCCTTCCTGCATTCAACACCTCATTTACATCCAAACTTAAGTATGGGACACTTCCAGCCCACACAGTTAGCCTCATTAGCACGGGTACTACAATTGACAGGTATCTCGGTTTTTTTTCTTCCCTTCTTTTTCTGTTATAAATTCTGGGTTTCTGTTATTTCCACTCCATCTTCCAGCTCATCTGAAGAAGTGGGCTTTGCCCACAAAAGCTCATGACACTATATATATTTTTGTATTTAGCAGTTATTCTCAGAAGCATATGGAGAGCATTGTTTTACAGTGTGCTTAATGTATGATTTACCATACTTATAAAATTCTAGACAAGATTCCAGGCTAGTCTGTAGATTTCGTTTGCCTCTCTGCCAGTTTTCTTTGTTAGTTAAATTGATGGTAAGAAGCAATCTGGAGAAAAATGCAGGTAGAGCATCTCCTATTATAGCAAGACAATAATGTTATTTCACCTTCTCAAATGAATACAGAACTAATCTTCTTATGGATTTTTTCCATGCAGAATGTAACGGGCAGTTCCCCAGAGAAGTTAGAAGATGCCATGCAATGGATATTGGACAGTGACAATGATTTGGGGATATGGTGAGTAAGTGGCATCATGAGGTGTTCAAGTTATAATTTTCCGCAATGGCTGACCTTACTGACTTGACACTTAGTATATATTGGCTTGTTGGCATATCACCTATCATCTTAGATCTCACGGTGTAAGCCAGGATTGTGGTGGTCAGTACTTGGATGAGAGAAACTCCAAATTAAAAGAAATGTGCTGCAGGAACTGTTGGTGATTCACTAGGTGATCATTTTTCCTTGATCTGCGTCCCAGCATCACATTAGGGAGCGTTATGCTCATGGAGCTTGTCTTTCAGATGATGGATACATCTGAAATCCTGGATTCTTGTGGTTAACTATCCCATGGCACTTAAAGACAATACCTTTTATTGGACTAGTTTCTGTTGAAGAAAGAGACAAGCTTTCAAGCGACACAGACCTCTTCTTCAAGTCAGTATTGCTCGAAAGCTTGTCTCCTTCACCAACAGAAGTTTGTCCAGCAAAATATACTATCTCACCCTCTGTGTGTCTCTAGCATCCGAGGATCAATACTGTTACAACAGCACTGTAAAACATTTGGAAGTGTTAGTCCAGGTGTCCTGTCTGTGTTCCATCTGTGTGTGATTATAATCTGCCTTTTACAATTCTCCTTCGTGCTTTCCACTCTATACTTCTTTCTTCAGTATTTCTGCTGCAAATAGTGCTTTGATGTTCTAATGTACAGCCACAGTCTGCCATTGAAGTGACTACATTTCATTAGGGAATGAAGCCATCCTGTAAGCTAGTAAAATGCTATGGGATCTGAGGATGAAAGCTGCTATTTAAAAAAGAGAAAAGAATATTCTGAATGACATATTTAGAGTGTATCAGCTTTAGTGTATATTATAGCAGATGTACCTGGTGTTGCTTGGGTCCTTAACTCTTTTTTTTTTTTTTTTGAGGGTGTGGGGTATGCAGTAGTCAAGGTGGGATTGGATGGTGTGGGGGAATGAAGGGCAGGGGGGAAGGAGTCAGGGCAAGGGGTGAGGGGTGGAGGAGTAGTAATCAGGACAAGGGACTGGGGGTGAGGAGGAGCTCAGGGCAGGAGGTTGGTATGGGGGGCTTCAGTGAGGGATTGGGATGAAGAAAGTGGCTCAGAGCAGGGGGCAGAGGGTGTGGGGTGCAGGAGTGAGGGTTTGGGGGTGAAGAGGACCTCAGGGTTGGGAGGTGTGGGAGGATTCAGGGCAGGATTGCAAAGTGCTGTGGCAATGTGAGTGGCACTGTTCCAGTGGGGGTTTCTCCTTATCAGACCCCCTACCTTTCCGTGTTATGGAAAACAGTGGGTTTACAGGCATATCCCATTGTCCTACCACAAACAAACCCTGACTGTGCTTTATGTTATGATAAAAGGAAGCTGCATTCCAAATTTAGTGGTCCTAGCTCTTACCATTTAAGAGGAATTTTTGAAAAAACAAGCTCAGACGGATGGACAGAAAGATGCACATTTCTAAAATACAGGCAGTCCCCGGGTTATGTACAAGATAGGGACTGTAGGTTTGTTCTTAAGTTGAATTTGTATGTAAGTCGGAACTGGTACATATTGTAGGGGAAACTCTAGCCAAACATTTCTCCAGAGCTCAGTTTTGTTCTCCCACACCTCACTTCCCTCAGTCCTTTATTCTCAAGCTGAGGTGTCTGCTGAGAAAAGCCGCTCCGCGTCTGCCTGGTCTGCTGGGGAGAAGCAGCTAGTGCGGGGTTGCCTCACCCTGTTTGTAAGTAGGGATCCGATGTAAGTCGGATCCATGTAACCCGGGGACTGCCTGTATATAGTAAGAAGAACAACAACAAAATACCTGATGAATGAAAAGGCTCTCATTAGCTTCACTGAGTGTGGATCTGAGATTGAGCATTGCCTGTTATGTTTCATGGACAGCCATAATTTTAACACTTGAGAGAGGAGGGAGAAATATTTGTATTTGACAGTCTTAATTCAATCTGGTTAGAAGTCGGCATCCTGTGAAAATCAGCTTAAGATTTTGTTCAGCCCTTTTGAAAAATGTGAAATGCTATATAAGTGCTTGCTGTATATTTATAAAGGCTCTTCTGCCTCTCATTTAGCTATTCTCGTGGACTGTGTGGGTGGTACTAAGAACCACTAATTGTAGCAGGGATCCATTATAAATGTAGTTTAAAGTGCCAAAACACAGATACATTATCTGAAAGCAAACTTATTTTGGAGAGCTGTCAAGGAGGGAAAATATTAGCAATCTGAAGTTGCCCACTTTGCAGTTATTCAGAGATTAGATTGAGCTAGCAGGTCTTATTATGCCATACCAGCACATCTCTCATGTTTCCATCAGTTTCTGAAGGATTTAATGATGCAGGGAACAAAATATAAGCCTGTAGCTCTTATGGTTGAATATACAATCAGAATGTATATACAGTATTGTCTTCCTGAGTCAGTGAACATACTAACATAACTCTCAAAGATGTGACCTGCCTCTCTTCAGTATTAACTCTGGGGTCTAGTAATGATGCATGTTAACTGTTTCACTGCTCTTTAACTTATTTCAGCAGAAACACTGGAGTCGTGGATATAGCTTGAGGAGAATTAATTTTTTCTCCAAATCTGCCACCTACAGCTACTGCTGTAATCTAATGTGCCATGTGTTGTCTATTTCTTTATGATTCTTTGAGTGTGAAGACTATAGAACTACACAGTGTTCCTTTGGTGGGAGAGTGTTTGGATTTGTAGGTGGGATGGGATTCAGTGCTTTCTAGTCAATGTTTTGAATAAAAACACTGTTCAAGACCTAGACTTGCAACACAAAACACACTCCTGGTATTTATATTCACCATAATTAACTACTCCATCAACAGTTCACCAAATTGATCCAGTGTTTGGCAGCTGATTACGAAACTCAGACAGAATGTATAGTGTGCTTAAAAAACTCCTGTTGGCTTTTTAACAGACTTGATGTGAAGTTATTTTTGACAGTGTGTTGGTAAAAGCAGAACAACATAAAATCGCTGTGCTTGGTAATTCTTCTGCCAGTTCTATACATTCATTTAAGATTTGGACTATAAATTGGACAAAGTGGTTGTGAAACAGTTGGATATCTCCAGTTACAGCAAGGCTCAGTTAACCAGCTATAACTGCCAGTGAGTTGTTACTTGCATGCTGTCAAGCTGAGGAGGGTTCAGGTAATTTGGACTACTGTCTATAGTGGGCCATTCATTATAACGCTAGTCTAAATTTAAAAAATAAATGTAATTCACCTCTTACAAATTGGAGCACTTTCAGTTGTATTTACCTAATACTTACTGGTTTAATAGATCCAATAAGTTAGCAAATCCAGGTGTAGATAGACCTATCTGTCTGACTAAGTAGATGTATGAGTGAATTTGGGAGCATGTTATGGGCTGTACTATAAATGCTTTCCAAGGTTGTGTCTGGTTTACTTTAGCCCTGCTTGGTTTGGTGTCACTTTTCCAGCTAAACAGTTTATGCACATCTGAAGCAAGGAAAACAGTGCAGCCTCCACAGACATTCGCACTCTTAGCTGTTCTCTGCACAACTGCTGAAAAGCGACTCAGTAAATATTTCCTTGTCTCTATGCTGGGAGGCAGGAATCCAATTTACAGTTTAATCTTCTGCTCACCCAGAAGTGCTATCAAAGCATATCCAAAGGGACACTTCAGTTTACCAGTGGGAGTTCTGATCCTGGTGCCTTTTCTAAAGCCATATTGCTTCCTTGCTAAGCCCCCAGTGCTGAAATGCTCCGGAAAGACCCGCACTGAGAATGCTTTAGTGTTTGCTACATGGTGTACTGAAAGAGTTACCACTGCTACAATATGTTTGCTCATGTTCTCCTAATTAAAGTGTGTTTCTGGAGTCTGTGCACTCAACAACGATGGTTTTCTGCCTTTTCCCATCAGGTTAAAAGGGGAAGACCCTTTGGAACCAGTTACCAGGATAGACCAGGTGGTATGCCTCGAATCCACCCGTCCTCGGATGGGGTTAGGCTGCCGTTTCCGCCGGGCACTAATCACTGCCATGATGAACCTTTTCATCTTCTTTTGGAGTAAGTCTTTAGCCTTAATAGTTGAGCTTTCCTGTCCCTGCACAACTCCCACAAACACATTACATTAGTGGTAAAAGGTAAATTCTCTTGGCTACTGTCTGAGTAGCTCAGGAACATGAAGGCCAGGCGTACTGGCCACTGTTGGAGCAGTCTAGAGCCACCACACTGCAGCAGTGGCAGGAGAAGTTTGGGTAGAGGTCTCATGGTGGGGGTTGGAGTGCTGAAGGGAGTGAGGGCTCTGGGTGGTAGGGGGCAAGGGCATTCCTTGAAAGCAGTGACATGTCTCTCCCTCTCAGCTCCTAGCTCTGTGTGCTGCCTCTGGCTGCAGGCACTGCCCCCACAGCTCCCATTGGCTATGGTTCCTGACTGAGGAGCTTAGAGAGGGGCATGTCGCTGCTTCCAAGAATCTGGGTAGGGAGCCTGCCAGCCCAGCCAAATCCCCTCTCAGCACCAGTGGAGTCCTGGGCTGCTCCCACTGAGCAGTCACAGTGGCCCCTGGACTACACCCCCTTGCACCCACAGCTCCTCCACAAGTACCTGCCGCGCACTCAGGATTTAATCGAGTGTAGTACAAGTCAGGCGGCCATGCATTTTTGTTTACTGCTCATGACCTGTCCATGACTTTTACTAGAAATGCCTGTGACTAAAATGTAGCCTTCCCTATAATCTAAATAGACAAGACAGACATGGGAAGTACCATTATTCCCATTTTACAGAGGGGTAACTGAGGTACAGAGAGAGTGATTTGTTCACAGTTATATAGGTGGTTGTTGGCAAAGCCACAACTTGAATCTACATCTCATGAGTCCCAGCACGGTGCCTTAACCACAGGGCCTTCCTTCCTCTTTGTTCTGATCCTCACGGTTCATCTTGATTATTTTGGGGTGGGCTAAGTGAGGGGCTTGCATTTTAGTGCTGAGACCAGTGGTGATCCTGATTTCCCCGGTAGAAGGGAACACTTCAGGTGAAACTTGCCAAGGCAGATGCCGACTTTCTACAATGCCAGGACCTGCCTGACCCCCGTTCTGCCCAAGTTCCCACCGTGTCTCACCTCTTCCTGCCCCTGTTCTGCTCCCTCCCCCGAACGTGCCCCACCCTCGCCGCTCCTGTATGCTGCAGAACAGCTAGTCTGCAGCAGGCAGGAGGTGCTGAGAGGGGGGCTACTGGTGGGTGCTTAGCACTCATCATTTTTTCCTGTGGGTGTTCCAGCTCCGGAGTATCCATGGAACTCCCTCCCCCTGGTAGTTTGACTCCTGGCACTGTCAGTTTCAGAATTCCTATGCATTGTGGGGGAAGGATAGCAGAGTGGTTTGAGCATTGGCCTGCTAAACCCAGGGTTGTGAGTTCAATCCCTGAGGGGGCCATTTAGAGATCTGGGGCAAATCTGTCAGGGATGGTACCTGGTCCTGCTGTGAGGGCAGGGGACTGGACTCAATGACCTCTCAAGGTCCCTTCCAGTTCTTGAGATGGTATAGCTCCTATTATTATTATTATTATTTATTATTATTATTGTGATTGCCACAATAAACAACATGAATAACACAGATATAGTTCCAGGCAGGCCCTGGATAGTTGTGTCTAATAACAAAGTGCGAAATACAGCGGCTAACATCCATTAAACACATGTATATGGGTGCATATGCTTCCTGTTGTGTCCTTCCATTCATAGATCTATGCTGAAATATGGCTGGGGGAAGAAGGAAGAAGAGGAGCAGGCCATGTATGAAATGGTGAAGAAAATCATCGGTAAAGCCCTAACAGCTCTGTGGCAATTTTAAAATGCAGTCTCCTCCTTTCAGACAATTTCACTTCCCTTTTGTTCCTTTGTGTTCTGTGTACAGCTGTTGTCCAGGATCACTACAAAGAGTGGGAACAAAGGTAATATGGCTGGGGGAAGAAGGAAGAAGAGGAGCAGGCCATGTATGAAATGGTGAAGAAAATCATCGGTAAAGCCCTAACAGCTCTGTGGCAATTTTAAAATGCAGTCTCCTCCTTTCAGACAATTTCACTTCCCTTTTGTTCCTTTGTGTTCTGTGTACAGCTGTTGTCCAGGATCACTACAAAGAGTGGGAACAAAGGTTGGAGCGATACCCATACGTAGGCATCCTTCATGTTCGAGACACCCTCATCCCCCCCCAGAGCAGGTGAGCAATTCCTTTCATTTAAGAAGAGAGCCTTCAGCTCAGTTCAGTGTGCACTCATGGGGTAACTAAGCGCAAGCAGAGCAGGGTGGGAGGAATTTTAAGAGGAATGAGTCTGGCATTTGAAATTGCAAAGGATTCTGCTATAACCCAGATTGCTGTAACTCTCTGTGGTTAAATGTGATAGGCCCAGTGCTATGAAATGTAGTTGTAGCCATGTCAGTTCTAGGATATCAGTGGGTGGAGTGATCTTTTATTGGGCCAACTAATGTTCCCTCTAATCTTTTTCCATCCAGGTGTGGAATAAATGTTATGTGCAGAGGCATGTGCAAATGTGCACCACCCATAAAAATAAAAAACTAGTAGTGTGCGCTCAGCTAATCAGCTGGGCAGCATTTGAATGTTTGAATCTCTCTTGAGCGTCCACACAAGGGCACAGCTCACGGGGAACACTGGGACCAGCACTTACGGGGGAGAGAGAAGTTCTTGGGCCACACAGTGCTTTTCTCCTAGTGCTGACAGTTTGAACACTGGCACAGTGTATTGTCTTATCAAGCAGATATTGGTTTGTTTGCTTTTCTTGGGTGTTGGGAGTTCTGTTTGTGTTCCCTCTCCTAACCTGAATCAGATATTATCCTGAGCATCTCCACTGTTTGTCATACTACCTGGCCAGGAGAAGGGCAGTGCTGTTCCTTTCAGAATGAGTCCCCAGCGTGTAGCCAGAGCATTAGTGTGTCTCTTTCCTGGATGGTTCTGTGCGTTGCCTTATCATAGAAGTGAGACTAATCTCATTTGGGTTTTCCACCAGCCAGAGCAAAGCAATTGTCAGTTAGGCAGATGGAATTGGAAGAGGCTGTCCAGTTACGGGCAGATTGTTGGGGTGGTTGTTCTTCAAGGAGGCAGAATGGTTGAGTAGGTGTATCGCAGGGGAATTAGCCAACAGGGTCATGTTTTTTTTATTCCTTTGCCAGAGTTTGCCACTTCATCTCTAAAGTTCTGTTTTCTCTTCACTAAAATGGAGATCATCCCTACTTTGTAGAGTACTTTGAGATCGTACTGCTATGAAGTACAAATCCTTTATCATTTTCATCCTTAATCAGGCTCCGTTCTACCAGTAGGAAAAAGGTCTGATGTGGTTTGACCTGATGAAAAAGGTTTGAGCCCATTTGGCTGTATGGGATCCTGAGCTGAAAGCTGAGCTGAAAGCTGGGAGCACAACTGGACACTAATCCAGAACAGCAGGAAGTTCCACTTGGTGTTCTAAAATCAAAGGGAGCTCTGCAAGCCTTATTGTAGGAGGCAGTTACTAATCGGGGTCTCCTTACACCACAATTCTGTGCAATCCCTAAGCCTCCTTGTACGTCCTGAAGGGCTCATGTTCCACAGTATTTAGAACCATTTGTGCCTTGATACCCATCTCAGAACTAGCTCTGCATGTTCACTTTGATCTCCTTGACTCCCTTTGTGTTTCTTGGTTGGTGCATTTGTCACTGCCTACACAAAGCAAAATGCAGGACAATGTAGCACTTTAAAGTTAGTCTTGTTAGTCTTTAAAGTGCTACATTGTCCTGCATTTTGCTTTGTGTAGGCAGTGACAAATGCACCAACCAAGAAAGCGTTGGGCAGAGATGACGATTCCTTTTTGCTGTTGCTTCCAGGAAAAAAATGAAGCGGGTCTGGGACAGAGCTGTGGACTTCCTGGCTTCGAATGAATCACGGATTCAGACGGAGTCACACCGGATAGCAGGGGAGGATATGCTGGTGTGGAGATGGACTCAGCCCTCTTACGTCTCCGATTCAGAGCACTAACCAGGAGCAAAGGAGGAGCTGATGGTTCAGTCTGTGCCAAGGGACAATTCTCTTTGGATGTGAGGAGGGGTGGACAGGAGTTCTAACTTTCTCAGTTGAGAATCTCCTTTACTCCCTGGCCATCTATTTCTGAGAGACACTTAACAGATTTTTTTTAGGGCAATAATCTTGGATTGTGAAAAGCGGGACGTGAGCTAGAGGAGAAGCCAGAAGCATACCAAAGCTAGCTGTCCAGTGAGTGTTTGAACTCCATAAGTAAACAAACACATAATCACTCTTCAATACCTAAAAGAAAGGGACAAGGGAACTCTTTGCCCAAGGGCTAGGATGTTTAAGACTGACCTTTACTATGGGAAGACCAATAAGTGGTCTTACCCATCGGCAAATGTTTTTTAAAAGAATTTCCCATGGAAACATCAGGAATGGGAGTTAGGAACCATTCATTTTAAAATGCTTTTTAGCTCACTAGCATACCAAGAATCAAACACTTAACCTGACGCTTCACAGAGGAGATCTCTGGGTGTGTTTGTTTTATGTGGGTGGGACTGAGAGAGGATTGGGTCACGTGCCTTGAGAGATTTGGGGTATGAAGGGCTGGAGGCGAGGAGGTGATCTCCTATGCTTTGTATGTCTGCTTTCACTGTGCTTTGTTAAATACTGGGAATGGTGGGGCAGGTGGAAAATGACAGAATATAGGCGTTTATAAGGAGCATGCTCTTAGGGCTGCATCCGAAAATAACCACTCCATTGTACAAATAAAAAAAACCTGGGAATGAACATCAAGGGTGAATGTACAAGTCTATACTGGGCCGCTGCAATGTGTGTGTATTCTTTTGGAGAGCAGATACACAATGCTTACTGTGCTGATGCAGGGATTGTTTGCGGGAGTTAATGTGGCAATGCTGCAACACTTAATGTGCAGAGATCAACTCTCCGTTAACACTGCAGGCGTTGTGTTTTGTATATACAGCTGTGTGGCTAAATGTGTTTGGTTTGATGTACAATTAAGAAGTGTTTATCCTGAGGAGAAAATAGCACCAGTGTGTGGAGGCCTAGGCAGGCCTGAGATACAGTTGTTCAGCCTCAGCATTTCCAACATCTTAAACTTGTTATCCCAAGCTCTGCTAGGATAGCCACGGCCAAATGCACTTCTGGCTTAACTCCAGTGGCTTCCCACCCTTACGCCAGCAGTGATTTGACCCCATATAACCAGGAGATTTTATTCCCATTAGTGTCATAAATATTATACCTGTAGCCCATGTTCATGGAGAGCTGCTTCTTCAAGGGTCTGGACTGGCAGGCAAGCTTGACAAGGCCATTGAATCTTAGCTCTCCTATCCATGGACCTGCATGGAATTGGTTTTCAGTGTATGGAAGTGTGTTCTAATCATGAAGCTTGCCCTTCTGCCTCCCCAGATGGCACAGTGAAAACTGAAGGATTGCTGGGGGCTTTTTCCCTGAGCATTCTCTGGCTGCCTTGGATTCATTATATATCCCGCTGGCTCGTCAGAGAAACTAAGTACAGAAAAGCAGTCTCCAGAAACAAAGCAACAGGAGGCCTTATTAGTTAAGTAGGAGAGATCCCATGTTGAGTTGAATTTTATCCTTGTATTCTCCCTTTTATGGCTTAGGCAGGGTGTTTGAACAAAAGAGGAAACTCAACAGCTGTGTCCAAGACATTAACCATCTTTCCTATGCCTTATTGGTTAAAACAGTTGATAAAAACAAAGGCAGCCTTTTTTTTAATGTGCTCGGATAAGCTCTTCGTATCCTTTGGTGCTTGCGAAAACTCCCATTGTGCCTCCTGTCTTACATCTTTTAATATATATATATATATATATATATGGGTTTTGTAATTTTTTTTAACCATCAGATTTAGAGTGAAAAAGTACAAACACTGCACTTAATCTTTTGTATTTATGAAATTTTATTGTAGGATAAATCTCTCTGGGTTGGTGCTATTTATTACACATTTGACTTGGGTCTGTACATTTAATTTCAGAATAAATTTGTTAATGCTATTTATTAATGTTTGCAATGCAATAGTCAAGGACCAGGATCCTGATATGCTGGGCACTGTACAAACACAGAACAAAAAGATGGTCCCTGACCCAAAGAACCTACAATGGAAGTCAAGATTCAACAGGCAAGGACAAGGAACAAGAGAAACACTAATGGTCAGCATGAGAGTCAGTGGGCTTAGCATACCAGGAGCCTAGCTGTTGTCAGGTCACTGTTGTAGGCAGGTGAGTCTGATTTCTGTTGAGAAATTGTGATGGTAGCTGTGCAAGGTTCAGACTGAAAGATCAATCCTATGGAGACACTCCTTTAAGAGGAGTTGACAGCTTTGTGTGTAATGACATCTCATGGACATGAATGTCTAACAGCGTCAGGGGTTAAAGGTGCACACGTGGGAGCAAGGAGTTTGGTAACATGTTTAAACGTGACTGTTGATTTGGGGTGTGTGACGGCGCAGTTGGGGGTTCCCCCGGTCCTGCAGCCCCGTAGCAGCACGAACAGAGAGGGGTTTACTCTCCATCCCACTACTCCCTCCCCCCCCGCCTATTGTCTCCTCCCGACAGGTTGGGGATCTTTTGCTGTCCTGCTGGGCCATGCTACAGATAGCCCAAGCATAGCAACCAGCAAGGTACTAACACTACACCACAGGGTGCCAAGGAGTGAGCGTGCTGTGTGCCCACTCTGAAAGCCAGATCCTTTTAAGGTAGTTCACATGGGTCATCTAGAATCTTTACTCCGTTCTGAAAATCACGGTCTTGACTTCTATTCCAAACTGGCTGGCTCACAGTGATGCCTTGGATGAATCTTGGAGAGGCTGTCCGTCCAAAGAGCCTGCCAGGTAGAAAGGGAATAGTTTTTAAATCTTGCAACAACACTAACAAGCTGGAATTAGTCCTAAATTCCTGCTAATATCCATCCACGTAAGTATTTCTAATGCATTTGTTAGCTGAGAGTCTGGGTCAGCGTGTGACTATGTATCACAAACTGACAGTGGGTTTCACTCGTTGCTTTCACAAGCAGGCTCTTGAAACTACCCGAGATGAATTACCAACACTCAACTTCTACTGCCACAGCTGACTCATAGGCTCTGGGTTGGGGAGTTATATTTGTTTATCTCATAATATGCATCTTGGTGACAGAGGCAGCTCTTCAATGGGACAAAAGGGTTTGCTGCCCAATTCGCACGGCAAGCTACCTAACTCCTTTTGTTGGCTTGGACAATAGCCTCTGAAGTATGTCTCTGTTTGCTAGGATATGCAAACAGAAAGGGGCGGAAAGAGGAGTGGTGCTTAATGAAAGGTTAAACTTCCCTCCTCCAGGAATTTATTTCTGTTTAGATGCTAGTGCCCAGCATAGGTTGCTAAGTTACAGCTGAGATCTAGTCAGGATTAGGAAGTAGTCTGCGAGGTTAGTGTACCTACGTGTGCAGTGACTGTCTGCTTCAAATCTAACTGCCAAGTACTCCCCCGTAATGCTCCCTGGGAGAACGGGCATAGGGAAACTTTGGTTAATAAGAACTTTTTGGAAAGGAAGAAGGCTTTAATACGATATAGCTGGTTTATGGCTATCCTTACTGTCTGTCTCCATTAGGAACCCCACTGCCTGCTTGTACAGACCATTCCAAACACCTGTACAGCACACTTTATAAGCACTCTGGGATATATGCAAACGGTGAAGAATTGGCCCCATTTTCTGAATGATCAAGTGGCTGAAGGGCCAGTCGTCCCTGTTCAGTGCTTTCCTTACGCTTGTACTGACTTCATCATTTTTAAATTCTCCCCCACTCTGTGAGCATTAAGACTCCATGAATAAATCCTCAAATAGTGGGCTGATAAAGCCATCATGTCCCCTTGTTGTCAAAAAGAAAAATATGTACCAGTAAGGAATCTAAAATAAAATTTGCCCTTTATCTTTTTATTTCCTCCTTCTGTTTAAAGGCTTTCATATTAAATGTTTTGTCTCCCGCTGACATGACAGCTGATGCTGTGCTTTATTTATGGGAAGCGTAGTTAGGGAGCGGTGCCAGTTCTGCTGGAAAGAGCAACATGAACTAATGAATAAAAAGAACAGCCAGTGAAGTCTGCCTAAAGAGACCCACCTCCAAAGGGCTGCCCCCTTGTTTCAAGCGATCCCTCTCCAGCAGCACTGGGGTTTCTACTGCAGCTTCGTTTAGAATGATACTTTGGACTTGTACGGTGCCTGCGGGACAAGCATCACAAAAGGCTTTACTTGCTCTAGTGAATTCAGCCTCACAGATGACAGGTGGAAAGCAATTTCCATAAGGCAGCATAGAAGCCAAAGCGCATCCTATGCTTTAACCACTAGTCCATGCTTCCTCACTGAAAAACAACCTCTCTGGAGCAAATTATTTTTATGGCTGTCTTAATCCTCCAGGGTTCAAATAGGGCCTAATCCAAAGCCCACTGATACCGGTGGAAGTCTTTCCTTTGATTTAGTGGGTTTGACCAGGCCTATAGTACTTCTGCACCTCCAGCTTGGTCTGATAGTCCTCAATTGATGGTAAAAGGTCTTTGCTTGTAGTTCAGGGCTGGGAAAGATGTGGCCCAGGGACTGGCCCGCCTAATACTTAGATCCGGCTTGCAGACTGCATCTGGCCACTTTCTATTTATATCCTGCCTGTGCCACCGAATTTCCAGGCGATGGCTCAGGCAGCAGGATCCTATTTAAATGGCTCCCAGTCTCATCGCTGCCCTGGCAAAGGCCAGAGCCATGAGCCTTCAAATAGCCACAACAACTCCGGGCAATTGCCTGGCAACACAGTAGTGTCAGGGCAGGGTGGGGAACCGCGATCCCTTTGCTGTGTTTTTAATTCAAAGCCTTTGGCCCCAGACAACTCTGGGGGGAGGCTAGTCCTCAGCTCTGCCCCTTCTTTCCAGGCCCAGCCTCTTCTTCCCAGGCCCCACCCCTTCTGGGGGTGGAGCCAGCCTGTGCCCACACAGCAAAATGCATTGTGGTCCCCCTGCAAAAATAATTGCCCACCCCTGTTGTAGCTTGTCATACAAACCTAGCACTATTTAACTGCCAGGAGCTTAGGCTGGGTAGATCAGGTTCACCCAGGGGGCTACTGATGGCGGTATAAGATCTACCTGTTCATCCACTTCCTATAGCAAATGTTATTGAGAGCATCTATCACTGCCTAAGAGCCCTGTGTCTAACGCTACAAGGAGGAGGCTGTACCGTATCCCTTCGAAGTTCTCAGCCCTCACCCAAACATAGCTTGGCAAAGGATTTTCAGCTATTGCCCTCCTACCACCAAAGGTCTATGAGAATGAATCAATCAGCCCCAACAGCGGGGCTTGTCTGGGGTTGCATTTACCTTTGTGCTCAGACCCCAGAGCAAGATCCCAGTAGTTAAGCAATGTACGCCCTCCGGTGGTGTTTTGGGGACAGCTTAATACCGCACAGCACACTGTTAGTTATAGCCTATTTAGAAAGCACAGAACTTTTTCTATGGGCCGGGATCCCTATTCTTCCACTGAAGTGGGAGTAGTTCCCTGGAAATGCATAAATATTCTCCAGCAACGTTGCTGGGATTGTAGTACTACCTTTCCTGGTTGGGGGAGAGTTTCTTTGCCATTGGGTAACGAGTCCTGAAAATCTCGGTTAAGGCCAGGTTCGGTATGTGGCACTAACTACTCCAGAAAAATGACTGGGTGCGTCTAGACTGGCAAGATTTTGCACAAAAGCAGATGCTTTTGTGCAAAAACTTGCCAGCTGTCTACACTGGCCGCTTGAAT